ATAAATAGCTCACCTTTGGAAAATATACAGTAGCATACGGTATAGGATGTTTTTTTATAGTGAGGTGAATAAATTGCTGCCCAAGTGAGTCAAGTTAAAAAGGAACCGCATGAATGTCAACATCAGGGTGGCTGTCACTGCCGAGGAAGAGTTAAAAAGCAAACATCTCCATGATTCAACTTCCTCCTGTTTGTAATGGGCGTTGCCTTCCCAACTTCTCTGAAAGGTGTGGCCATTCTGTCTCACTGTGAAATTCCTCCTCTGGTATCAATTTTGTCCTCTCACTTTAGGTAAGACAACTATTTTCTGACAGTTTATTATCGTCTCAATCCATGTTCTGTTCAATGTTTGTTTGTTTTTTTAAGTGTTTTGCTGATCGGGGGAAATCCAGCTGCAGACTGTAACCTACTTTAGGGCAGCATATTTGTCATGTAGGCCTACACGTGTCACCTCGATTATGTTGACCAATTCCTACTTTCAACTTTCAAAATGAGGGAAGTTATCGTGCATTTTCAAGGAAGACATAAAGCGTGATCCAGGAAATGGTTTATGTTTCCTGAAGTGGATGCCAAAAGCAGCGCTGACAAGTCGAAGACAAAGGATAAAAAAAATAGGGGGAATGCTAAACAAACAGAAGTGGATATCCTGAGCCGCTATAGGCATAGTAATAAATTATATTTCGGATGTTAAAAGTACGCTTTTGTCTCCTCCTTCATTTCAGGCTTTCATCTAAACACAACCATGTCTGTTTGGGTAAGAACTCATAACTTTCTGTGAGTGATATTATGAAACTTTAAGCCGATGATAAGACAATATACAGGTGATAATTTAAACCTATGTGTGCTTACTATTATCAGGATGACTTGGACCTCCTCTTAGACTCCCCCTCCTCTCTGACTGTCACTGTAAGTTGGGCAAACATTTCCCTTTTTAGGAGGGGGGGCATGATTATGAAGATGATGGGAGATGATTTTTGGAGATGTCTCACTTTCTATTTCTACTCTTCAGATACTGGTTGATAAGTTTTATGTTTAAGTGTGTTTCTGTGTCAATCAGACCAATGTCAGAGGGACTGTGAAGGACAAGGCAAACTTCAAAGCGGAAGAAGATGTGTCTGCACTACGGAAAGCCATCGAGGGTATCGGTGAGTTAATGAGTTACAGTATCAGTAGGCCTACATATTTTAAATACTATATCAGACACACGTGAACATGAAGTGTTAAGCATTTAGTTGGTTGTCTTGTGTTTATAGGTACGACAGAAAAGACACTGATTGAGGTGCTGACCCAAAGAAGTAATGCTCAACGTCAGATTATTGCCAAGGCTTATCACAAAGCTACAGGACGGGTATTAAAAAAAAAATAACTTCCTCTTAAATATCATTTCACAGCTCTGTGATAAACATGATGATGGTGGTGGAGTAAAGTCCATGTTTATTCAAATCTCCTCCCTCAGACATTAGTAGCTGACCTAGAGGGCGACACTCACGGACACTTTGAGGACCTGTTGGTTGCCTTGGTAACGCCTCCTGATGTTTATGACTGTCATGAAGTCATCGCAGCCATCAAGGTGAGATTGTGCAAACCCAACCTCCCTTGCCTCAGAGGCAAATCAATCCACTCGACGGATACATTATGACGAAAACAATGTGTCAGTTAATGAGGCTAAAATGTAAATGATTATCTTTCTTTTTTTGTTGTCTTTATAACTTTTAGGGTGCAGGAACCACAGAGAGTACGCTGACTGAAATCTTTGCCTCAAGATCCAACAGACAAATCAAGGCTATTTCTGAAGCATACCTTGCAGGTTAGTCTTCAACACAACATACGTGTCATTTTAGATTGTAAATCTGTTTGTCTGTAATGTTGTGAAATTCTGTATTTTTCTTTTTTTTCCCCCAGAAACTGGAAAATCAATGATTCATGATTTGAAGTCAGAGGTGTCTGGAGAATATGGCACAGCACTGCTCATCTTGGCCGAGGTATTTAACCTTCATTTGAAACAGTGGCAGGCTACTCCTGCACATATTTAAGTAATGGAAGTCAGACTTAAGTCTTAAATTCTCCCTGCAAAGATAGCTCTCAACATTCCTGTCATATTTTAAAAAAAATGTGGTTAAAACCTTAATATACTGTAGAAACTATTTTATATTGATAAATACAACTTGTGCATAAAACAGACCATTGAAAAACTAATAAATTAATGTAACAGCAAAACTTTATTAAGAGGTCTGAATCATAGAAGAGCTTTGGAAAGAGTCGTTTATTTTGTCAATTGACTATCCCTGTTACTTTATATATTTGATTGAGAGGATTGTATTAAATGTCATTCTAAAATTGTGACAAATGAGCAAACTCTTATTTCATTATCGTATCAAAAACTATTCTTCTGCTTGTCTCCACAGGGAAAGAGAGACGAGAGCACCAGTGTGGATGCAGCCAAAGCTAAAGCAGATGCTAAGGTATAGTCACTAGAGTAATCAGCCTTTGTTTCTATAACGCATTCAGAAAGTGTAAACATGTATTAAAGGGACTTAATTCATGTGGCTACAGAACACAACTTTGTACAGCAGTTTGGCTACTGTGTCAAACAGATCTGTGAATGGTTATAGTAAACCTCTTCAGTTGCTATGTTGACGTTCTTTGCCTGACCTCAATGAGGCTTAAAGTCACCTCCGTCATCAGTTAACACAGAGTCAAGCCTGAACATGCTTTTCCTATGCTAAACATGTACACATTAGACCTTGGATTGCAGGGATAGCCCACAACTAGTCCTTTAAAATAGTGTATTTATGTTTAAGAGTTTCTTTTGTGTTTCCCTCCAAGGCTATGTATGAAGCAGGGGAGAAGAAATGGGGAACCGATGAGGCCAAGTTTATAGACATCTTGTGCCACAGAAGCATTCCTCAGCTTCGACAAAGTAGGTACATCCCTCACATATGTCTTTTTAAAGACAAAAATATAAATGAATAAACACAGAATGGAGAGCCTTCAGCCATGTTAAAAGATATGTGAGGTTGTGAATTGGCATAATACTGCTTTGAGCTAAATGCTAATGTCTGGGTGTTCATGCAAAACAGGTGTAGTGTTGTTCACCCTCTAGTTGGGCTTACACACATGCACACATACGTTAGCTTGTAAGTTTTAAACACAAAGAAAGCTAATGGGAAGCCATTAGTTAAGCAGGTATTTTGTCATAAATGATTGAAGCAAAAGTCCAAATGTTTTAACTTGATAATGGTGCTGGATAAAAGGAAAAGTGATGAGCCACGATCTCAGAAAATAAATCGTTGTAATACCATTTTAACTGAAACAAGAAAGTATTTCAACCTCTAATGTGTTTTGCAGCTCTGGTTGAGTACAAGAACCTTAGTAAGAAGACTCTGCAGGAGAGCATTGAGAGTGAGATGTCTGGAAACCTGGAGAAAATACTAGTGGCTGTTGGTAAGAAAAACATGTTAGATTGTTGCTATATTTCTGATCCTTAATGTCACCATTCTATTTTAAACCTTCAGTTTCACGTGAGCTAAACACTGCGCATTTGACACACTTAAATAACTGAATTTGACTTTTTTCCCCGTCCTAGTGAAGTGTGCAAAGAGCGTCCCTGTGTACCTTGCTGAGAGGCTTTTCAAGAGTATGAAGGTAAATCTGTTTGATATGTCGTCGTATGGCTGCAGTTTTTTTCTGTGGCTCCAAAAACTAAATCCACATATTGTCTTATTGCAGCCGGTCCTTTTTTAACCACAACAACAGTTGTATTTGTCAGCAGAGTGGAAAGGAATGTTAAGCCTGTTATGAATTGCTGCTGCTTTGTGATAATGTGCAACTCTGGTTTGAATGTGTCAACGTGCGTTAATATAGGCAACCAAAACAATGTACAGACAAAGGTAGATGTTTTTGCTGGGTAATGTATTTGATAAAAAAATGTTAAAGGTCCATTATGTAAGATATCTACTGAATTAAATTATAAAATGACCTTACTATATCAGCAGATATTAAGGGAACATGCTATGTTGAAGTGTTGTCTGTGACAACAATGCAGCAGTCAGTATGTCCTCCTTTCTATTCCGGTCTATTCCGGGGTTTGAATTTGGACGGCTGTACCCATTTTAAACACTAGGTGTCATATTGCTCCTTTAAGAAAAGATAATTGTTTTATCTAGGTGGGTTTTGCTCAGTTGAAATATCTCGTTTGATTTTTCCCAGGGTGCAGGGACCACAGAGTCAACTCTGACCAGAATACTTGTCAGTCGCTCAGAGATGGATCTACTGGACATTAGAGCAGAGTACAAGAAGCTGTTTGGAAGTTCCCTCTACAGCCAGTTAGAGGTAAGTCATGATGCACAAAGAGCTCAAATTGATAGTGCTCATTTTACTCCTCCACTTTAAAATTAGTATGTTGTGTTTTTGTTTGGAGATAACTGACAATGTTTTTTTATTTTTTTAACAATGTACATATATTATTCCTACGTCTCTTCATGTTGGTGCAGTCTGAAGTTTCTGGCAGTTATGGTGACGCCCTCAAGCATCTCTGTGGCCAAGATGACTAACTCCTCCAAACTCCTGTGATGAGAAACACGTGTTGTGAATTGAAGCTTTTCCCAGGTGGGGGAGAACTGCATCCAAATATGAGGATGACCAGTCGCTGACCTTTTACAATAGCGTGATATATTTGCAAGAGCACGGCTGGAACTAAACATTGAGAAATGCTTGTTGAAGTAGAATTCCAGCAATGTTCAACCCAACATTTATATCTTAAAACTGTAGTGCTGTGCCTTAATAAGAGGGTTATTCATGGATATGAAGAGGGGGAATGCCTTAATGAATTTATACAAGTGAATTATAGCTGTAGTTAACTAAACATCTACTTTTCATGATATTGTATAATGTAATAGATCATACACACAAATAAATGACTGTCCTTATTTTCAAATATAAGCAAAGTGATACTGTTTTCTGTGTCTTAATGAGTGATAAAAGAGATACTTTGAGACATTGTTTGAATTATTAAAATACTAGTTTATTTCAGGGTTTTGTTTATGTTGCTGTAACCGACTCCTACACAGGTCATCAGGACCTTGTCACCACCTTTACTCTCGTCTTCTAAAGGCGTCTGAACCTCGATCTTGAACATGATCTGGAAGAAATCTTTAATGTGTCTGAGGAACTCGATCCTGGTGAGAGACGGGGGAGAAAAGGGAAATTAGACAGAAAAAAGGGGTGTTTGATTATAAGACAAGAAGAGGCAATCAATGCATGTTGAATAAAATAAACAGATTTACAAGACAATGTCTGGTGCCAGCGTGTTGTCTGTCAACAGCATGGCACGAGCAAACGGAGGAGTGTTTTGTGATGGCACTGCCAATCTTCAGTTATCATAGTACTGTACTTGAGAGGGACACAGCACCGGTACCATGATAACTGAAAATGGACAGTTCATAGCTCCCTCCTCGTCCGTGACGACACTGAAATCAACTCTATGTTCAATCCTATTTCTCTGTTATTCTCCAACATGACATTTTCAAAAGAAAACTAAAAAGAGTTTAAATACATACGAGAACATTTGAATGTTTAAGACATGTACATAACAAGTCAGTCTCCTGATAAAACATGTTTAATAATACCAGATAAAGATAAAGATTTAAAGGGATACAGGGGAATCAAAAGTCGATTCAAAATCTTTGTTTTGGTCATTATTTGTTCATTTGGACTTTCCTCATTTCTTTCTCACCTTTGTGTAATTTGAAATCTTTCATTAACAATTTATCAACTGTGAACTGTCTGTGTGTTTTTTTTTTTTTTTTTTGCGGAATTTGAAAATTAAGTGGAAGTGCAACTACTCTAAGTAAAAAAACAAAAAACTCCAGGTATTAGGATGCATGTATTTCCTATTTTCCAACATCTCCTGCCCTGAAGGTGTAAAAAAAAAAAAAAGCTTTAAAAAACTGTCTCCTGCCAACATTGGATGAATGGAAGAATAACAAAATGTAAGGTCCTTCAAGTTCTGCCTTGGGACAAAGTGCATCAGTTAAATAATTTATGAATAAACCAAGAGTCTGTTTGTAAAGTTCACAGGGGCAGTCAGCTCTGTGGGCGTCTTTTACTGAGTGTGACTGGCTAGCTTACGTGTACGGGGAGAGCGGTCCAAGCAAAACTTTAGACACGTCCTGCTGGCCAAGGGTCATCAAGAGCAGCGCCAGACTTTGATTCGACGAATCCACACAGCCACCCTTATACAGGGAAAGAGAAAGTTGAGGCGTATGAGCGACAAAAACAACACAGAAATACGTGATGGAGGTGGAGAAAAAGAACTCGGCAACCCCTGACTGTTTGATTATCTCAGGTCAAACACTGATAGCAAATTACACACACAAAAAAAAAAGTTAGAATCTAAGAGAGGTTATTGTAGGTCAGAGGTTTTTCCACTATCAAGGCAAACATAAGGCTGATAATGTTTTAAACCCAAACTGAAATATAGAGAGCGGAAAAAGAACAACAAACACAAAACAAACACACATTGAAATGTAAAAGGTACAAAATGTTTTCAACTGCTTTTTTTTGGGTATTATTTCTTGACTTCTTTAGCGGTTACTCGTCCTGGCACATTTAATAACCATCAAAAATACAGGATGCACGTTTTTTTCTGCAGTATTGGCATTTCTTATCACCCACACAACACTTTCTACAAACTCACACATCACATTAGTTGATTCAAGTCTTCTTCGTGTTTCTCTTTTCCCAAAAAATATTCTTTATTTTCTGCCCCTCTGACCTACAGCCCCTTCATCTATTATTCCCCCTTTTTCTTCACCATGTACGATATTTAGAGGACAGAGGATCCACTCTGCATCAGTGATTACTGGACGACAGCTCATCCAGGCCACGAGGAGGTCTAAGCAAGACTGGACACACCCAAGAGGATCTTATTAACCAAATGAATACACTTCATAAAATGAAAAAAATGGCTGTCCATTCTGTGGTTACTTTTAAGAGCTCAAGATGAACATCGACTGTCTTGAAATAAACTGAAGACACACTTTACACAAATAAACTGCAGCTACAAAATGATACTTAAAGCTTGTCAGCAGGAATATGATTTCATGACATCATCATATAAAAGCAAATCTAAAGAAAGAGTACAGAAACAGGCTTAACTGTTGATGAGGCAGAGATTATGCATAATAAATACTGAGTTATATTAAACTAAATGCTCTGGAAATAAATCCAAACATTAGTGTGATTTTTAACCTAATATATAAAAAACAATCACACACTGATGCCACTACGTTACTCCTTAACCAGTCATTAAAGTAGAAGTATGATGAACTGATGAGCTTTACAAATTAATGTGCACACCGTCTTTGAAAACTGGTTTGACACAAGATTTAGTTTTTCCTGTCTGAACAAATTAGTGAATTTATTTTTCATATTAAACTCCACATTTACTTTAAACAGAGCTCATTGAGAGAATGTATACATTTAAAAGGTTACTTTTACTTTA